TGCTTCCAGTCGGTATGTGGCTTTCTGAACCAGACATAATCCACCTAGGTCCTGTGCTTCGAGGGCTGTGCGCGCTATTCTCAGTGCTGCTATGACCGTTGTCGACGCAATGTTTCAGGGTATCCGTTCCGGAGTTGGATGGCTATCAGGCTCTCAAACTTTCTAGCGCTGAGAGTAAGGTTTTTGTCCAGGTTCCTTCTACTTTGCTCGGTGGCAAAGTCATGTTTTACAGGTCAAGAAGAAGCGGAATCCCCTGTTCAGATGCAGCTGTGCAGTTTTTCTGCCTAGTGCTCAGGTTCTTCTCTTACGGCTTCTGGAGACTGCACTGTCTGGACCCCACGCTTTAATGCCAATCCAGAAAGACTAAACACGGATGCAACTCGCAAGCTGCCGACAGCATCTGTTTTTGCATCCGTTGTTGCCATAGAGGTTTGGGTGCAGAGACCTCGAGGCCTATTCGGCTCTACCATGTAGAAGGTATCGCGGCCGGGACCCAGCTCGGGCCTCGTCAAGAAATGATTTCTATGGACTCCTTTGCTTCAGCTGGACTGGTCTGAACTTCTGTTTGGCGGGCCTTGGACGTGCAGGGGGTCTTGCGGAGCATGAGGGCGTTGTTCTTTTTGGTGGGTTCTTTTGACAATACTAGGAGTGCGATTAGCGAAATCTCGGTCGCTCAGAAAGTGCACACCCTTTCGATTGCGCGCAAGGGCGAGCCCAAGCTATGCTCAAGGCTTGTTGTTAAGGCTGATTGAAGAGTGGTACTCAGCGCTTTAGAAGGCTCAGGTCCTGCTACTGAAGCCTCTAGAACCAACTTCTTGAGCCTTGAAGCCCCAGTGTTTTACCCGCAGCCGAAGCTTAGACGCGAAGCCACCAAGGGTCAACAAGCCACTGTAACAAACCCTAATCTTCAAAAAACCTCGCGCTCGCAAGCACGCCCAAGGAACGCGCAAGGGCGAAGCGCAAGGGATCGTAATTGGCATGCGTGGAGCAAGGATATAGAACAACCCTCATGTGCGCTGGAAAGAATTTTCAAGTTTTGTTCATACCTTCGGGAGCTTCCAAGCTATCGCACCATGTGTGATGCGCTACGACCCAGCTCTTCCTGAAAGGACGTGCTAGCTGGGCTGCCCTTCGTGATTCGTTTACAGATCGTTCACCTAGGTTCCTTCTTTTTTTCAGCGGCTCGGTGATGAGCTGAGTCTGGAGCCAGCTGTGTGCACGTGTTTTTCTGGGCACCCACCTTTTCCAGTGCTTTGAGAACTGCAAAGAGCTGACAAGCGCAAGGCATGTAATGGCCTAGTCTGTGAATCGGTCTCCTTTCTCAGCTCTTCTGAAACATCAGCGCCGGCGACGCAAGGTTGGGCCAATCCCCTTCGAGCGGAAACTGGGCTGACAGGAAAGACAGAAGTCTATTGATTTCGCTGGAGGTCATCGTGCCACGTATCTTTATTGATATGTTTTATGTGATGGCTGTTTGTGCCCGGACAGCAAGCTGAGTGTTGTTGCTGAGGATTCATCTTCCGACATTTCTTCTGCCGCGGCTGCATGTTCCTTGACTTGCGCAATTGACATACACTTGTGTCGGCCAACAATGTGCAACAGCTGTGGAAGGGGGCGCAGATCAAAGTCACGGTGGCGAAAAATTTTGACGATGATGCAGATCGTGTAATCGCACCATACGATTCACACATTGTGTGAGGCTGTATCCCCGCAGCTCCAAACTTTTGGCTCAAGCTGTCCTCGGGCTGAGACTGCATCAAGCATTGCCCCTGCTCGGCGGAAGTATGGAGCAGTTCATCCGATACCTGGAGGTCAATTTCGCTATTCTCCGCTGCTTCTTTTCGGGAATCCTGACCTTGAGCAAGCTGCCGCACGAGCTGTGGAGCAGCACCGAGTCCGGCGTGGTGGTCGTTTCGAAGAAGCTGAGAGAGGAGTACAGTGCGAAGGTCGATGCGGTTGCGCAAACCATCCGACAGAGAGGGCCTCCTCCGAAGGGTGGGCTCTCTACTCATTCCCTGCTGGTGATGCATCGCTTGCTGTGGATTGGCACGGCACTGGCCAGCAGCGACATGAGGCTTTTCGTTGCCGTAGGTTTGCTGCAATTCGTTGCTGCGCCATATTCCCTGGTCTGCTCATTTATGCTTTTTCTGATGCACTTCTGCACCATGTGTCTCGGGCACCTGGCATCTGGGTTAGCTCTGAGCGTCATCCCACTGCCCCACTGCTTCAGCATGGAGATTGGTAGCACACTGATCGGTATCGTACTCCTGCTCGACTTCGCGGCGACAGCATACTATGCCTTTTGGGCCTGTTCCGATGGCCTGCCGAAGAAGCTGCCCCTGCGAGAGACACTCTACCACATGATCTACGGCACCTTCCAGGCCAAGACGTACATCTTGCTGGTGCTCGTCATGTGCCGTGGGCATCGGCTAAACATCGCATGGTTGGCGCTGGATGCTGTGGCAGGCATCTCGCCGCTGATCAACAACTTTATGCAGCGGACGGTCCTGTCTTGGGAGAGTCTCTTCTATCACATTCATCGGATGGAACACCTTCCGGGTGTGTACGAGCATGCGCACCGATTGCACCACTACCTTCCAGATGGGACCGCCTGGGATGCCCACGTCCACAGTGGAGCCGGCTTCCCAGAAGAGTGGTTCTACCTGATGCACGACATTTTCCTGGTGCGAGTTCTGGGGCTCCCTCCTCCCTTTATGACTTACCGGCTCCTGAAGTACCAGCTCGGAAACAAAGACGGCCACCAGCGCCGCGTGGAGCCTTACCAGGTAGAGCAGTACCATCAGGATCATCATCTCTTCCATCGGAAAAACTTCGGTTTCAACAGGCCTTGCTTGGACATGATCTTCGATACGTACAAGCCCACAGCGAAGAAGCACCTAGCTGTTAACGGGGCGATCTACTCAAAGGAGGAGACGTCCGAGAGCATCATGATTCACATCAAGGTGTTCGATCGAAAGCTTCTTTTCCAAAGTTCACAGCGGCCGGCAGCATGGCAGAAGCCGCTTCGAGAGCTCATGAACTTCCTCTGGCACTTGCATTGAGGCCACCCCTCCCTAGCCCTAGTCTTCGCTTACTGTAGTCTTCGCTGCATTCAACCCTCCCGAGTTAAATTGCACGGCCTCGTACGGGCCGAGACTATGCCGGCTTATGTAAAGTTCGAATGAATGCGATGCCTCGCCAGCTTTGCGAGATTTAGGCCTCGGCTGCCGCGTGTACAGACGGCCTTTCCTCAAGCCTGCAGTTGTACAGAGCTTTGAAGGCACGAGCCTACGAAAGCTACAGACGCCATGCCGATTCCGCAAATCTGGTTGTGAGCTCGTGAAACTCCGGCGAAAAAGAAGAAACACGGCAGATTCGCAAGCCATGTCTGCCCAGCGTCGATATGATTGCAATATTTCCGTCGAATAATTAAGGCGCCCCTGAGATTTCTCCTGTCTCCGAACCCGATCGTGGGGCAGACATTGCGGCGCAGCAACTCGGACTCAATTGGACGGGTGCTTCGACCGGCAGACGCAGAGATTGGCATTGCTACCAGTACAAACATGTTGTGGCCTCTCCCTATCTACCTGTCGAAATGTTTGTCGCTCAGAAACAGTGAGCTGACTGTTCTCAAACGAGCAGAGCAGCCTGTATCCTCGTTGCACCCGCTCTGCCCCGAAGTTTCCAGTGTTAAAGGCGCAAGCCCACGCATTGTGTTGATTTCAATGGGTTTGCCAGGGGCTCTCTTCAGCTTTGGATCACACTAGGACTCGAGTGTTTGGGGGCAGGTGACATTTGTCAAAGTCTTCGATAACAAGAGCACAGCCCCCAGGAAAGGGCTCGCAGTGCACCGGCAAGCTCGTGAAATTCACGAGGAAAAGTGGAATGATTAAATGTTTGTGACGTATATGGCCTCTGCGAAAGAGTTGCTGCCGAACTGGAAGAATTACTAATTAATCACCCGATCTGCAACAAATGGACGTCCAAGAGCACACTCGTCAGACTGGAAGAAGGTGCACTTCAATAATTGCCCGAATAATTACCCGATGTGCCACAAACGGACATACGAAACACAGCACAGTCTGGCAATTGGAGACCGGCACGATTGCAATCCCACTAGCTCTCCGCAAGGGCGTGAGCGTGTTCGTTGCTTCTGCGTTGTTTGTCACTGCACTTTCAGGGTCTTTCAGGACTCTTCTCCTGGATCCCTTGCCACAGATCTTTCCCAAGCTACATCCGTCGGGGATGCAGATGGCGTCCAATTCGCTGATAATGGTACCCGTGATAAGCCGCGGTTGCAAAGGCTCCTCTGGCTACATGATTCGAGTATCTTCGCTTCGCATGCACAAGGTGCCGTTCTTCCTGTGGCACACCCTGCGCTGTTGGAGGCTTTGCCTAGCCCTGCATCAGACAGAAGCTGCAGACGTTTTTACTGCTTGGGGTTCTGAGCATGGGTGTCGCAACACCAGGCCTGGAGCCTGAAAGTTCATGCCGGTGTTTTCCCGGTGGGCTTGGACGTGGTGCTTCGACTGCCGGCACCTGAGTACGGTAGCATCCATGCTAGGGCTGCTGGGTGGTCGCACGGCTGTGGTATGTGTGGTTTGTGGTACCGGAGTCTTGGTGTACTTCTGAACGACGCAATTTGGACCATGTCCGCACGTACTCAGGCGCGACGGATCTTTCTCAACCTTTCAATCCATGCTGTCACTGCCTCGTGACCAGCTTCTGTTAATCTCCTGGCAGTAACTTCCGGATAGAGGACATGCTTGAACGACTAGCTATTGATCACGTCGTACGCACTCGACAGCAATCAAGAAAGCCCCGGTTGTGACATTTAATTGCCTGGTGATACTGATCATACTGAGCGCTTCGTCAGACTTCTGCTTGTCCTGGTCCAGCTGGCGCAGCACATGACTTGGCTTGTGTCTGCAGGCATTTTACCAGGAAATGCCAGCCAACTTGAAGCTGTAGATAGCTGGCAACCAGCTATTCAGGCAGCCATGGCGGCAAAAGTGCGGCCGTTTTTCCGAGGCAAGAGCTTCAGCAAGAGCAAAGACCAGAGCTGCTCGGCCTTTAGTCTTGTCACATGTCAATGTGCCTCCATAAGTGTCGCGAGGGGAGACGGGTGACTTCTCGGAATTGGTTCAAGATATCAGAAGGTCCGCAGTAATTGGTAGCCGATGGAACCAGGGTGTGGTCTGATCCAAGAGATTTGTTTGAGGGCTATAGGGCGATTCTAGCAGTTCCTGGATTCGAGAGTAACATAACTCCATTTCAGACATTTGTCAAGTTAGCGAGTGTAGGAGCACCCGTTATGCGGCAAGGTGTAAATAAAACGCCGGCAGAAGTGTGGAGACCGTACATGAACGGCCTACCAGGAGTTGACATCGACATCCCGCTTCCCCGAGATGATCGGCCAGCCCGCGATGGAAGCCTGGTTGGCGACTGGCTGTCGTTCTTGCAGAATGCAGAATGCGCATGTGATTATTGGGCTGCAGCAACTAAGGACGGGCTTTGAGTCAAAGCCCTTCGAGCTCGAAGGATTCCGCAGCAAGACCTGCTGAAGTCAGCCCCATGAATGCCTCGAGTTTCGTGCGATCTGTTCAATCTCGAGAACATTCAAAGGCATCAGCCGTGCATGAGCCACCGCTCTTGGAAAATGTTGTCTTCGATGTCTCCAAGATTTCGGAGACGGAGGTCTTCAATTCCATCACCAGCGACGGTATGTCCCCGTCATCTGGGAACCTGAGGGATAGTAGTGGTGGGCACAATGCATCTCAATCGCATGCCAGTGGCGAGAACGCCCCTACCTCGCCTACATCGCCGACTTCGAGGGAAGTTGGTTTACGTGGCGGAGCCAAACCAAAATTCAACCAGCTGCCCCTCTGTTGCAAAGCAGTGTTTTGGCTATGCACAGCCTGCTCAGTGGCTTTATCTCAATTTACCATCTGGAGCCATTAGAAGGCAGTGGTGTCTTTACCCAAGACAAGGAATTCACCATCGAAGACTTCCATGGTCTCCATACAACGAGACCCTTCCCCAAGCCTTCATACACGAAGCGTCCCAATCGGAAGAGCCTTACGTAGCTTGCGTTGCGTGGTGCTCGATATCAGGTCGAGCTTAACTTTCGACGACTCCATCGGTGACGAGCGACCTGCAGCCAAACCGACGAAGCCTCAGGCTGGGCACTCGGGCAGCCTGTCGGATGGTCAAAAATGCCGTGCTCGATAGAAGGATTTGGAATGCTACTGGGCTTGCTCTCGCCACCAAGCTACTGTCCATGATGCTGGTTCTGCGCACACACACGCACAACATGTCAGAAGCCACTCTTGACACATGCCTGTGCGTTCGCAGGTGCTTGACGCGGAACTAGAACCAGATGATCTTCCTGAATACCCCTTGATGCGAGACGAGGTACACCCGCATGCCATCCAACTACTTAGTTTAAGCCCGGCAATACAGCTACGCGGCCGGATTCGCAGAGGGCCCGCGTCGATTGGTTTGTGTCGGTCCGAGCGGAAGCTGTTTTCTCGAGCTTCTTCCGTTTTTCTGCCAGAAATAAGCAGGAAACGGTGGAAAGCGGCAATCTGCGCAGTATTTTCCCGCATCAGATATGAACTGCATTGAGAACAAATTCTCTTAAAGTTCTGCATAACAGTAGTTGGGTCACTAATCATGACGAGAGGTCCTTGCGTTACACAATGTTACACATGTTGCGTACTCCAATTCAGGCCAATCTAAGCCTCAGCTAGGGGGGTGCAGAGCCCACCACAACAACGAAACAACAGGGGTGGGGCGGGGATGCGAGCGGGAGGGTACCACCACAGGCCCCACCCTCACCCTACAGGAAGGGGGGGCAGGGGGGGAGGATACCATGGGGTGGGGGTCGTGGGGGTGGGGGTGGCAGCCCTGCATCATACACATATGTACATGCACTCTTTTCGATTTGTACAACGAAAGATGAAAGCGATGTTGAAAGTTGTTGCAAGTCCCAAGCTTCAGGACGACCGTCTGACGTCGCGGCAGTCATCTCGGCAAGGCGTGGGCTGTTTACCGGCAAGTCCCTGCGAATCTGGCCTCACAACACGGATACGTAGAGCCACTCTTTCCAGATGTGCCAAGACATCGTGCAGATGCGATGCGACAACTTGTGGAAGCTGTACGGGTTTGGATTTGAGCGACAGGCATGCTTGTTTGCTGTGCAGGCATCAGGCCTAGTGCGAGAGTTAGTTGAGACTGGACCGATCATCGTACTCTTTCCGCCTAGCAGTGGCCAGCATGCGAGTCGAAATCCAGCCATCCTTGAGTCGAGATTGGGCTGTATGCACGAATCCCAGATTCGCTCCATTCATTCTACTCCTAACTGCTGTGCTAGAACTCTGCAGAAGCTCCGCCTGGAGATGTCAGGTCCCTCTCCCAAACCGTGAAAGGTTATCCTGCAAAACTCAGCCTGGTCCAGGTGGTACAAGTCCGCGCCCTGGCGACTTGGCCTCTAAGTCATTCTAAGATTCTGGCCAGATATGCTTTTGACATTTCTGGGACGTTCTGCGGCGTGCCGTCAAAGACAGCTGCAGGAAGCAGCATGGGCCGGACGCCGTCTCGAAGGCACTGCGCTGCGCTGCGCTGCACTGCGCTGCGTGTACTCTTGATCTCCCCCGCTTCCTGCGGACGCTGGAGGTCCAATCCCCCGCTTCCCACGCGGCCGGGAAGCAGTGCATCTCCCAGGAAAAAGACTCACTCCATAAACGACGCGAGGCTGAATCTGGGGCGAGGCGTGTTTCGGAAGGTTGGTGCTTGCAGTGAGTGGCACCAGGCATGCGACAATCGATTCGCTGGGTTCAATAAAGGTTGGCACAGCTTGTCGCAGGCTGTTGGTAGTGGATTAAAGGGCACCTGGCAACCGACTTCATGTAATTCATGTGCGTGTTCTTTGTGGTCGAAATACCCGAGATGAACGAGCTGCCTACAAAGGAAACGAAGGAGGGATTGTCGTAGTCACTTTTAGTCGTGCCACCGTCCTGGCCTATTATGAGTCGAAATGAGTAGAGCCATTCGCATCGTCCGCCTCGGCCCGGCCGAGTGCTCGGCTGTTGTGTCTTCGCACTGGAAAGAGGACGTCAACCAACTTGCAAAGCAAAGAGCAGAGGCAGCAGGCACTGTGGGGCGGTGGGGAGGGGGGGGATGAGGAGCGGGCGCAGGATGGGGAGGGCATAAAGAGGAGGGGAACCGCAGGGGATCCCTGTGAAAAGACTCTGACTGCTTCGGCCGAGGCCGAGGCGAATCTTTTGGCAGATACTGGCATGATCAATGCATCGCACGCAGTGTCCATGGGAACAGTCCTTGTCTCGGATCTCATTGAAGTTTTAACTGGAATCTGCCTTGAATGGCCTCTTCAAGAAAAGCTAAGCCAAGCTCGGCAAACCATGGATCCAAGCCAGCCGTATGTTTTCCCGACGTGATGCAATTATAGCTCTGTCTGTGTTTGTCCGTTACAATCTGCCAGTCACGAAGGCCACTCAAAGCGTATGAGAGGACATCAATCAAGCAATCAAAGCTTACCACACCCGCTTACAAAGCTATCGAAAGAACTTGCTCTCAGTTGGAGGTGGGCCAGAGCTGAGTCCACATGCGTTGATTTCAGACTGCCTTTACTTGGCAACAACTTGAGTCAATCCAATCTAGTCTCGCTTTTGTGCTAGCATCCCATGCGTGTTTGTACCGAGGACGCGGATTCGGAGGCCTCCCGTACCGGAAGCAGTGCATCTCCCAAAAAGAAATTTTCCACCATGAACGAGACTGAGCTGAATTGAGTGACAACGGCAACTTTAAGAGTCCACTGCGTTCAGTCGCATTGTTGCACAGAGCCGAAGCACCGGTCCGAGCTGCCTGCAGAGGGAAGTCTCATCTGTACGCTCATGAATGTCGCCGCCTTGATAGGTGCTTGTTGTGAGGTTGTTCGGGATGCTCACGACACACTTTTCTGATCTGGAAAGACTTTGAGACAGTGTAGCTAGTTTGGGGAGAGCTTCTCGCTCGTCAGACTTCGTGTCTTGCTTGGCAAAATCACGAACCTGGCGGCCTGAAGCATTCTACTGAGGACGTTGATTTGGGTTCACTGAACACGGCATCGGGCCGCGAGCCGGGAACGCCAAGGGCAGCATGGTTGCCCAACCGGTTCGACTGCTCTCTAGCCCCATCTGGAATCTGATCGCTCTGTCTAGTTTTGGTAGAATGGCTGTTTGCTGTCTCTGCCTGGTTGTGGGTCGTGGTGACTTCCCAGTCCGGTTGTGGACTTGATGCTTGGCAGCTCGCTGCCTTTTTCGCTGACGGGTCTCTCTGATGTGAAGGTAGTTGACAATCGATACGGACATACGTTGATCACGGAATGCTTTGCACAGGCAAATCGATCTGCAACTGGTGACGTTCCAGTTCAAAGGCGCCGTTCTCGTTCTTCGGATTGGATCTTGGGCGGGCACATGTGTCATTGAATGAATAGTTTTCAGTATGGAAGAGCAGTGGTGCAGCTAATGTCGTGAGAAAGCGAGGTGACCCGAAACTTGTTTAAGTGTCGCCACTGCACCATTATGTCCTGATAGTGGAAAAGCTGCAGGACTCCCACAGGCGCTTCTTGGCATGCAAGAGGATGTCTGTCGCAGGCCCTTTCCGTAGTACCCCACAGCGTTCCTTTCTGTTCCGTAGTGACTACGGTAGCCCTGGTAGAGCACGGAGAGGGAGTGGGCGAGGGCGTAGCCTTCACTCACTGATTGGTGCCAGCGCACTGACCACATTGCTTTCGGATGCCACCTGTAAGCAGGCAAGACACATGTGGGCCTGTTGCAAATGATGATAGTTTGTTCCATTCATGGATCCTTGCAAAGGCAAGTCGATCCGCAACCGATGGCAACGCAGTTCAGTGTGTGTGTGTGTGTGTGTTTGTGAGTTTTGCCTTTCTGCCTGCAGTGAGGCCCGGCCACCGTCACAGAGTGCACCTTCGAGACCGCCGAAACAGAAGGCGTCGACTATGTCAGAAGTCACGTCAGCCGCAGGCTTAGACAGCTTGTCGTGGGCATTAACTCCAGTCAGCCGCACACGAAGATCTGAAATCATGTGATACCTTGCCGCTAAACCTCGACTTTGTACACATGTATGTGGACAGGACCAGTGTCAGCTGATTCGCACTAAGTAATTATTCGGATGGCAGTGGCATCCGCCGTTCGAAAGAGCCAATCTTGTTAAGGGCGGAGATGATCAGCGGCCTGGCAGCAACGATGAGCCAGCTTTCCAACGTTCGCACAACATGTGGCCTAGTACGGCCTAGCCTGAGGCGAGCCGTTTGAAGCAACGAAGCTCTGAGCCTGCAGTCTGCCTTTGCCTGCATATCCAGGTCTAGCCCAAAGGGAGACGGTGGTGGGGGTCGCGCTCGACGCCTGTCCCTGATCCCTGCAGGACAGTCGTGGGAGTTTTAACGACATCACATAAATATGTTGTGCCACAGCTTTTCTGCTGGGGCACGTATAAATTATTGCTTTGTGCAGACCGTTCCAGTGTAATGCTGGGTCAATGTCCGTCCGTCCGAGTGCATGCTGGGCTGCGCATGCTCGTGTCCCTGGGGCTTTGCCACTTTGTCTGTCTGTCTGCCTATCTCTATCCGCGTGCTTGTGTGTTTGTGGTGGTGGATATGTCTGTTATGTCTCTGACGCTTGGTCTGTCGTCTCTCTCTCCGTCTGACGCTGGCTCTTTCTCTGTCTCCCTCCGACTCCCTGCGGCTGGTAGCTGCAACTATCACAGTCTCTCTGTGTTCAACCACGGGCAATTGAATTGACTTTAAACTGATGGTTGCATGCATAAGCAATAGGATGGCCCTAAGCGTCAGCGCGGAGTGTCGCATTCCACGAGCCTCGAAGCTCTGCCCCTCAATTCGAGATGCAAGTCCAGGCTTCCACCCGGTGTCAGTTCCTGCTTACGGCAGCAGCATGCGCAAAGATGGTTTGGGTGGGTACTGTGATTGTGCACATAAACATAGACAAGCATAAATATCGTCTTACATGCATTCACTGACTGACACAAAGATGCGGCTCGGCGTGGTGTCACCCATTCTTGTAAGCACCAGCCTTGCGCTGGCCTGCCATGCTCGTAAACTCCTAGCCAAATCCGTAGATAGGGCGCGGATGGCTGTGCCGTTCGTCAAGTCATCTCAAGCAATGTAAAGTCCAAATGCCATACTAATATAAAGCCAGGTGAAGCCTCTTTGTCTGGATCCCTCGCCTTGTCTGACAGAAATTGTTTCGCCCCCGCTTTGTAGCAGGACAGCTGCAACGCCAGCTCTCATTTGCGGACGAGTCGCTGGACGAGCTTGTTTCACATATCCGTGCAGAGGAACCGCAATTGGATTGGCTCGATGCCCGGCGAAAGGTGCACGAGAAATGCACGAATCGACAGCAAAAATGTATTTCGTGCGGTTGCCAAGGAAGACTTTTGGAACCGCGTGCTCGTGGGAACGCCTCCCACCGAGTGCCGGAACTTGTCTACGCGCTCCATCGGCTACTGGGTGCGCCCGCAAAGGGGTTTCAGAACGGGCTGTAGGGCGAGAAGCAATAGTTTATAGCCGCAGTTGGCCGACCAAAATTAAAATGCAGAATGTTCAGCTGGCGGGAATGAGATCTCTTGCTGCTAGGAGTTGCTAGTGATTGCCAGTGCCTGTCTCAGATCGGACTTTTCAATCGATGGCAAGCCATGGGTTCATGGACTCTCGGCCAAATTCAGACCATCAGCAACCCCACGCGGTGAAGCTTGTTGAAAGTAGATGCATTCTCCATTAAAAAATTCGAAGTTTGTGGTTTGTGTGGCAGGTTGTCGTATGCTATGGTGAGGCACGGATTTGAAGTGCAATGTCCCATCCCACGTCTCATCCGAGGAAGCCAGGCAGTGCACCGAAGCCTCGTGGCGCAATTGCTGTGTCCGTCGATTTTGCATTCTTGTTTGTGGGATTGGCACATTTCACAGAGTCATTGCAAGTTCGATGTCTCCGGCTGATAGGAGTTCAGGATGTTTAGTTGGAGTCCAACTGACTCACATAGATCGTGTCGTCTTCTTGCTGCGGCAGTGGCTGTCTAGTGTCAGTTGCGCACGCGGGATGTACCGAGATTCTTGGATGCGTACGAGCTGCAAGAGTTGCTCTCCGTTGCCATGCCGATTCTTTGCTTGACTTTGCTGATTGGCCTTTGGGTTCGTGGAGCTCATGAGTAAGCTACACTCCGGCACTCACAGCTTCACCGTGTTATCCAGTCAGTTCAGTTACCCAGTAGGTTCAGGTCCACTCGTAGCTCAGAGACGGTTTCGCCACAAGGAAAGCCCTTGAATGGGTCAAGCTCTTCGATCCTCCTGCGTACGCGCAGCTTCAGACCACCAGGCCAGGTCAAGCAGACCATCCGAAACTGGAAGCCGAAGACTCCTTTGCAGTTCAGATCAAAGCTGAAAGGCCTGAACCACAAACTCGACCGCCAGTGCCCTCCTACAGCATCTTGCGAGGTCAGCGATGGACCACAAGAAGGTGAAAGTCTTGGTTCCCGCATTTCTGACATGTGGCATCTTCCTGTCAACCACGATCTCCAAGAGGCAAAAGATCCGATTCTTGCTGCCTGGACTAGCGAGTCACGACACCATAGCATAGGACCACAGGGCGTACATGCTCAGTGTTGCAGAGTCTAGGCTGGGTATGTTCGACGAGAACGACAGCCAGACGTTTGAGTCTTCCGAATTTGTGGAGATGACTCTTGGTCTGAGCGTGTGTCAAGAAGTGACTCCGATGTCAGGTTTATAGGACTGAAGACTTGATGCATCCGTGGATGTCCTGAACCTAAACCTTCTGCTGGCATCTTGCTTCTGCTCACGCCATGGACCAAAGTGAGTGGCACACCCTGTTTTCAGGATCTCCTCCTTTTTCTATGGCATCGCCTGTGCCTTCGCGCTCCTAGACTTTCCAGGCGTTGCTCCGAAGAGCCTCGTCGGCCATTGTCACAGAAATCGTGTTCCTTGTTCTTGCCATGTTTCGAACCTATGTTGCCAACGTTGCTGGGACATCCAAGGCCGAGTGCGCGCCAGAAGCTGGGAAAACATCTGTTCGAACGCGTATTGAAGGGTGCCTGCTGCAGGGTGCCGTTCTGGGAAGTACCCTGGCATACAATCTGATATACGGGACATCTGCGACTGACTCCCCTGACCTGACCTGGCAGCGAGACACTGTCAAATCATGTCGCTGGGCTAGCGGCTACTTCGCAGCCTGGTCACAAAGGCGAAGAAGATGAAAGCTGAAGATTCAGCACCGCTATGGCTTATTGAAGAGTCACCTGCCTGCTAAAGCTTGGGTGATGAGTGTGGAAGGTGCGATGTGGTGACCCATGTCTGTGGGGTCAAGACTGGGTTTTCGGGTACTTCAACCCACTGACTACCATGCACACAGTAAGCGGTAGACTCTGCAAGGAGCATAGTTGAATGAATTTCAGCTGCCTCGGAAGTTGTGCATACATGATCTGTCTGCCGCTTGTTTGTCATAGCCTTTGTCCATCATCGCTGCCTTGTTTCGTGCTGCCACAGACTCTTTGAAGAAGAAGCGGAGAAGAAAGCAAACGATGAGACTTGCAGTCGTGTGCATCCAGAGGTGGTTCTTGGGTGAGACTGGAGACCCTCTCTCTGCTCCGTTTGCTATGCTACTGGAACGGTTTTCGACGCGTGGCCTGGAAGATGATCCGGAGTTCTTCGAGGATGAGGACGGCCAGATGATGTGCGACGCGTCTCCAAAACCTGCGCAAGCCCTACCAATTCCAGTGGGATTGAAAGTTGTCTGCCCAGCTTGCAGGAAAGAAGGTTCAAGCTGTCCCACACTAGTCCAGTGGAGCCGCCGTTGGAAACTGCAGCCTCCCTGGACTCCAGCTCCTCAGCGCAAGCAGAGAATGTAGGGTTCAAAAATTTACTGATTACTGCAAGGCGGAAAGTGCGGTGCTTTCGGCATAGACTCCAGCAAGTCGCAGGTAGAAAACCCGCAGAGGTGCCTGGTAGGAGGTTCTTGGACTTGCTGTTTTCGGCAAACTCGCTGCCCACTTGCACGGCAATGACTAACAAAGGCTTTCTCCGCCGTGGTGAGATAGGCCGTGTTGATCTAGTGCAAGTGTTGTGTTCGCTGCTCTTGAGAGGGAGAACCACATTGACATGAACTTTGCCCAGGGCCGTTCCTGAGGTGCAGCATGGCACCTGCGATAGTTAGGCTGTAGGCCTGTGTAGTCCAGGCACTACCAGTTGTCAGATTCGGAAATGGACATGTTTCAGGAAGGACTATAGTGAAGATTCATGTTGAGAAAACAGCTTGGCGGAGCAACTGCATGAAAACGTGAGTTGCAGGCCTGGTGCGGAAAGTGTATGACGAGTGCGAGAGGCAGCGTGATTTCTCGTTATCTCATGCAGATGTCGGGCGCCACCTGGTTGCACAAAAGGTGATGGCTGCAGTGCTACTAAGACCAGGGACAGTGGAATGGTATAAACCTCCCATCCAATTGCGTGCCCGAGATGGGGCGAGTCTTTGCGAGGAGCACTTGGGGAGCTCATCCCTCCAGATCTATGGTGCAACCGAATCGCACGAGGTCCCATCTTCAGAGCGCCGGAGCATGCATGCGTGTCTAACAGACGAATGCATACGTGCATAGGGAATCGTGTTGCCGCATTGGCATATCTGGCTGTGGCAGCCCTCTCTGTCTCTCGAACTTAAAGGACTGCATTGGCACTCAAGCGCTCTCTGCCTAGTTGCTGCTGCTAATACCTGTCGCATGCAAGATCAGAAAAGCAACCAAACGCCACAAAATAGCAGTGCTAACTGAGGTTTGGACGAGATGGAACGAGTGCGTGGGATGGGCCAGATGCTCGCACTGATTGTCATCAGCGGTACAACGATGCCGGCACTGTTTGGACAAAAGAGAGGCCAAAGCAAGAACTCCCATGTAGAGGCATTGCATTCGCTTGGGCAGAGGACATCATAGTTTTCCTGATGTACTGTAATGTTATAAGGATAAGCTGTCCAAATAATTTGAAAATGTGGGACACCAGCAGATTCTTCGGCGCTGATGCAAGAGGCCGAGGCCTTGCTATCGCTTCAGCTTGCCAGAGCGTGGGTCCATGTTGTCAGTTTGAGCTTCGTTCACCGCACGCAGAGACTCAGGAAGACCAGCTTACCGCTCTTCCTCAAAAAGATCTGCCCCAACGCGAAGCCTCGCCACCTCCGCATGTTCCAGACTTGGATGAAGGAGCCGCTTGAAACGCAGAAATGTGCCAGAAAGGTGCTGCAGTCCTCAGTCAGGTCCGTTTGCGAGACGGCCTGAGTGAGAGAGTTGTTTAGACAGGTTTAACCATGAGGTACCTTTGACAACAAAGAGGTGGATTGGCTGAAGTGGTTTGCTGACATGCAGTAGTCGTGTTGGCTGCCGATTCCCAGCTGATGCCGGATTTGAGCCTGGGTTCCAAAAAGTTGAACCATGATCCCGGATCATCTTGCCGGGGCTGTGAGGTTGGATCACATAGAGGAGCTGAAGGTGCAATCAGCGACGTCTCGCCGCATGCAACAGCATTTTGAAAGTTTCTAAGCTGCAGATCACATTCGCTCGGTGTGACTGATGCACTGTCTGCCTCATTCAGGTTATGTTGCCCGGCCAATATTGCCTGCGCGTGTTCGGCAAGAGTTGCTGCAAGAGTTTGAGAGTCTTGCCTACGCCTCAAGCGAGGCCAGGAACGTGTGCACTAGTCGATTCAGCGAACGGCACGGTAATGTGAAGATAGGAGCAGAGGGGTTGGGGGAAGAGGCTGGACCGGCATCGTCTACTCTACCCATTGGGCGGACACACTACCCCTAGAAGCATTCGTTCGCAGAGCACGCTCTAATTAGCAGTAGCTACTGTCCTGCTTTGATGAAGACCTTGTCAACGAGACCGAGGTGTTGAGCAACATCTCGTCATGTGAAGCCGAGCATCCTCTTGCAGCCTTTGCACAGGCACGAGTTATGCAAGATGCCTTACGAAAGAAATTCTTCGATGGAGGCTCTAGGGTGACCAAGGACACCATTTGCCCGCTGCTTCTCTACGATGTCGAATCTTTTCGTCTACTATCGTCTCGTTGTTCAAGTCGTCTTTCAAGTCGTCCAGGCCCGTTCACGCTTTCAAGCCGTCTCACGAGCCCCGAATGTGCTAGGAGGATTACCTTGCTGCCATGTGCCCGACGGACTTTCGGCACAAGGAAGGCAGCTTGGATGCCGATTCGGTCTCACGCAGGCTCAACGCAGAATCCGTGCAGGAAGCGACCTCTGCGGCGGCTATTGACCCGAAATTAAAGACATAGCAAAAGGGAGGGGGAGGATCTGAAAACGTTTCAGGGTTGTTTTCGGCCCTTCGCGATAAGCCTTTGCAGCAACCGGCACCCCCTTCTTAAAAACTTCCTGGACGGCTCTAGGGCGTGTCTCTGAGAGTCTGCTCAGGCAACCCGGCCATCAATCAGGTCGTAGGCCTGTGGAGCTTGCTGAGCTTGCTGAGCGGCTAGAGTCTAGAATTTTTCATGTATGCCAGCCATTGCTGTTCTGCTTCTGTGGTCGTAGGCCAGCAGCTCAGTGCTTGGGCTGCAGTTTGTTTGCTTTCGTGTGATTTGGGTCTCGATGTGCTTTCCGCCGACGAACAACCGAACTTTGCCAAGCACCTTGGCCAATGTGGGTTCAAAGTTCATTGCGCCGAGGAATGCAGGTGGTTAAAGTGGAGGAGGCCCTCTCGCAGAAGGCTCGATGTGCGTCAGGTTGGCAGCTGCTTTGACTGACTGTCCTGCACATGACGAGGAGGCTTTGTTCGCAAACAGTGGTGAGGTTCCGATTACGAGGCGGGACGGATTTCATTGTAGCACAAGGATGTGGACTCTGCTGGGGTCGCCGTGCAAGTCTTCACACACGTTCGCATGTGTGCACGCAACAGCCTCAGAACAAGGAACCGGTGCCGAGAAGTTTCCAGTACCTGTAACCAGAGAGGATACCTTGCCGAGCAGACTTGCCCCAAGGCTCCTTCTACAGCCTTCAAACTAGTTGCGTCGTAAAGTTTTCATTTGGGATTCCTCATTCAGTCGGCCAAGATCTGAAGGTTTTGCCTGGCACTTGGCCATGTAGGCCAATGTAGGCACTTAGTGACGATATCAGGCGTGTTCGCATGTCTGGTCAGCACTGGTTTTGCTTGCTTTGCATGCTCAGAGACTCAAAGACTTCATGTGGCAGCCAAGTGTGCGCCCACAGGAGGAAGTTCATCAAGCACTCGGTTCCAGATAATCACTGGGCCTTGTGGAACCAAGCTTTCGAAGCTTTCGAGAACGGCACAGGCAAAGGACTGGACGGGCAAGCGAAGTCCGTAGTGTATTGTTTAAGGGACAACAGGAGGGATCCCTAGAAGGGATCCCTAGAAGGGACCCCTAATCCAAATACCCTATATAAGCCTTATATACCCTTTTATAGTGTCATAAAGCCCCTATAACCCCAAGGGTCTACCCATTGAAGGTCCCTCCTTTAGTCCCTTGAACTGTCCTGTGAGCGTGTATGTCTGTAAGTATGCATGCATGCATGCAGCGTCGGTAGTTTGGCAGGTTGTAGAGTAGGCAGGCTAGGCCGGTATTGTGTGTAATATGGATGGATGGATGAATGGATGGATGTAGGTATGTATGTGTGGGCGCAATGTATCCGGTGTATGTATGTACGTAAGACCTCGTAAGTGGGTATGAATGTCCGCATGAATACATGTGAATGTGTGTATGCCAGTCGATGTATGTATGTCAACGTATGTGACCCAATGCAAGTCCACCAGCGCACATTTTCGTCAGCGTATGTCAGCCAATCATTTGTTCAGAGTATGCCACAATATCTATGTCAAAGTTTCCAATGCATTTCAGTCATTGCAAGTCAATCGCTTTATGTTTTTGTGCATTTCAATTATGGTTTTGTCAAGCAAGTATGCCCCTGTCTAAGTCTCCGTATATGTGCCACTGTATGTGTGCAGATGTATGTGTATCAATGAACCCACGCCACTGCATGCATGTCAACGCGTATCTGCCTTTTTACGTGAGTCAATGACAGTCCGTATGGCAATGTGCACATGTAGGTAGGTATAGGTACATGTATGTATGTATGCATGCATGCATGCATGTTTGTACTTACGTAGGTGTGCAGGTATGCGTGCTTGTATATGCATGCATTTGTTTCTTCACCCTAAACTCTAAGCTGGGTCCGCGTTTTGAGTCGTAGGCACCGAACTACTTCTAACAGCTATCTACCTGCGAGGCGCTGCTCGCGGTTGACGGATTCTTGAATCCTGCTCAACTAAAACTTGCATCTAAAGTCTCCCCATTTCAGGCTTAACACTGAGCTTCACATTACGACCTTTCATACCACAGCATGCAGCGCCTAGACTCTCCACCTTGAGATCATGCAGCTTCACACGGAGATGTTTCACACCATGCAGTGCCTCCAAATCAGAGCTGTTCGCAATGGGGCTGCTGGTGATTCGTTGGGTATGTTTACCAGAAAGGGGTTTGTGTAACTGAGCATGTTCAATGAGTCAACGAGTCGCTTCCTAATGTCTGCACTGTGTTTATTGAAAGGTATACCTGGTTCTCTGCAGTGTATAGTTCCTTCATCACCGACCCAGAAATGACCATGTTATTTACAAAACTGCCGTGGCTTGCCGAGGAAGCAGTGGCAACAGTGGACTCATGTAATGGGTTCTGCCTTGGCCTTTGCCAAGTGACACGCATTTTAGGCTTTCTACCTTTAAAGACTTGTGTCAGCGGCTTCAGTTGTTGGTTCGAGCCATTGGTTGCTGTTGGTTTCCTGATGGTGTTGCATGGGTAAAGGATTTTGTGTTCGTAGGTATGTATGCATGCAGTGTTTGTATGTCTGTACGCATCGGTATTTAGCATTGGGGTAAACTGCAAAAGAGATCCTGCATTGTCGGGGATGGAGGGGTGCATTTTTCAGCGTGGCACGCGCAGCTCCCGGCTCTATCCAAACTTGTTCAGGTTGGAGGGGAGGTTTCAGGCGGCCGCAGCTTGAGGACAAGTGTCCATGTCGGAGCTCGTGCGCCAGAACGACTTGTGCCCCGTGGTCTGTGAGTTCATTTGCCCCTCAGCTGTCACATGTCACAAGTGGGGGCCGCCGCAGCACAAGTGCACTGCTGCTGCGCTTCGGTGCAAGGCAACATCATTACCGGGAGCTGCGACGGCAGTGAGCCTTGCTTCTCGAAAGAGCAGTGGTTGCGGAGATTGCTTGAGCTGAGCTCTTGGCGCGTCAAGAAGGAAGTTTTGAGCCAGGGCAGACTCTGCGCAGTCTAGCAGTCTAGGATTGTCTTGGACTGACACAGTTTGCCGAAACCGGTGACTGGGAGAAGATCTTCGTGTCTCATATCTCTAACCCTGAATCATTCCAGGTTCATAGGCATGCATTGGCCGCCAGGAAGCCTTTCCGTCACGCCATCCTTCACTGCTTAATTCACCACAGCATGCAGATCACGACAGGAACAGTGGCACCTACGACGTTTTGCATTCAGCAGAGTGAGATATGATTTTGCAGATGATGTTTGGTGGTCTCCGCCGCACCAAAGCAAAAGTTGACATCAGCAACACCATTCTTCGGTTGAGTGTTCTTGTGCCACTGGAGATTGCCAGTATGGTTACATCTAAAAACAAAACATGGAATAGCAGAACCAGAAACGCGGAGGTTGCTCTCCCGAGAGCATTCCAGCAGCCTCGGAACGGCTGTGCCACTGGAGATTGCCAGTATGGTTACATCTTAAAACAAACCGTGGAATAGCAGAACCAGAAACACGGAGGTTTCTCTCCGGAGAGCATTCCAGCAGCCTCGGAACGGCTTTGCGAAATATCCCGGAACGTAGGGGCCTGCGGCAATACAGTAGCATGACTCTCGACAACTCGACCTTCCAATCTCCGAAATGCAGAATTGCGCAGTAATAGCACGCTTTGCCTGGCTTTGTCCAGGCCTCGGTAAGCCAAGAACTCTTAAAAGTTTCGCCGCCTCTTGCCGCCACCTCTGTGCTCTTGCCACTGCTGGATGTCGCGAAATCGCAGCCCCGAGCATGAGCTCATTCATATTGGATTCGCCCCACTTCAGTCGCACTCCGGCACATGTTGCCTTCACTGAGTCCACAAGTCCAGTCAAACTCTGACAGCTTTTTGTTTCATGGTTAGCGGTCCTCACAACAGGCGACCGCAACAGGCGACCGCTGCTGCGGGTTTGAGCAAGGTGCAGTAGCTGTGGAATCAGGCGATCTCCTCCCAGCTACCAGGGTAAGAACCACCTGCGTGCTGCAGATGGCTGGGCGACTTCACGCCCAGTCAGAGCGAGGCACTGCATTCGCTTCAGGGGTTGCTTGATACCATTCTTGCGAAACCATGGCAGATCAGCGGAGGTGCAAAGGGCTTCGGAATGAACGAGCTACTCCAGAATCATTGTCAAGTTTCATGTTTGCAAGAGGCGGGGGGACGCTGCAACAAAACTCTTTCCTACTGCATAAGAGTAGATGATCTCCCGACACCTACCTGCAACCTGTCATAGACTTCGATACAGTACAAAGTTGACTTAGCTTCGTCAGGAACAATGAAGGAATGCGTGCTTCCCGTGCGGTAGCTTTGATGGCACGTGTCTCGCAAGGTGGAGCTGACGGGATAAGCTCAGGCTTTCTGTCGAGGTCAGTTTCTGTGTCAAGAGTGCGTGGGAGAAGTGTACCGGCACCTAACTCACCTTCAGCTCACTGCGCTGGGGTAGATCTGAGGCCTTTTGCCTCTGGGAGTCAGGCTCCGGTAGCGCCACAAGCAGGGCAGACCCAGTACTTCAGTACTGTCATACGAAATACGCGTTATAGGGCAGAGAGATCCGGAGAGGGGGACCCTCTCGCAGTCTTAGGCCCGTGGAACCATGGTGTCAGACGGCGCCTGTTCCGGCATTCATTCGGGTTTTTCAGGTAGCTGCCAGTAATTGCAGTCAAGAAGAGCATCACCACAGGTAGCATTGGCAGCTTCCTCTATACCCCTGCCGTGCCGACGATTGCAATAGTGCTTTCTGCCAGCCACGGCCGCAACAATGTAGAATCCCCATGCAGAGCGCAAGACATCAAACGGCATTACTGTGCTGAAGGTGTAACATCTGCTTGAAGTGTTGGGAAACCTCAATTGGCGGCTTGAGAAGCTAAACGCTGTCGCGCTTTAGGTGCGTCAGTGTTACACGATATATCACCATGTGCCTGGTGACCTGCAGCTGTCCCGAAGCTGCGGTTCTCACGTGGCCATCGTTGAACGAACCTCGGCAAGACGTAGATGCTCTTCCAACTTCAGAAGAGAGCTCTTCTGAGGCATCCGCTCGAGGCGAACTTACTTTAAAACCACCTCCTCAGCAAAGTTTGATCAAAAGGGGTGATGCGAAGAGTGCGACCACAAGAAAACACTGAGGGGGCCTGGGTGACTTGACTTCCTGCGAGCAGGGACTGTTGGTTGAACGCAGCTCCTTATAAAATCCGCCCGTATGTGTGTCAGAAACAAAAGTGTGCGTTGGAAGGCCCAGGCAGATCGCAGGCAGATTCGTAGGCAATGTAAAGGCCTGCCCTCCAACGGTCCTTTCTCACTAGGGCAGTCAGATTCTTGCCAGGCAGGATCCTTTGAAGGCTCCAGTCTGCAGACTTTGAAGGGCTCCTGAATCTGGCGCGAAGCCGTTTTTGCAGGTGGCCGACAGCGGAAGCTTGATCCGGTCTTCATTGTCTCCCGACTTTTTTTGTTTAAAGGCTCGGGCCCGGCCTTCGATTGCGGCAGGATACCGACCCCGTGCCCGTGGAAAAAGTGGAGGGCGAACTTCAGGTGCCTGTGTTGTGGAGTCACTTGGCCCTATGCGAGTAGCTGTGGCGAAGACATGTGGTTTAAACCCACCAGACCCCACCAGATCTGTTCTTGCCTTATATATCATGCAGGTTCTGCCGCTGGGCTGCATCCAACCTTGACTCTGGAAGACAAAATGGAAGACAGCATCAGGTCGCAGGAAAGAGCGGCCATTGCTTTGCTGAGGTTGTCTGGAGGCCGAAGCTTACAACTGCGCTTGGAAACATCTGGCAGGCCCGTAGCGCGCATGTAAGTATGTAGCAGACCGTGTCCAGGGTCTGCCCACCGGGAATGATGCCATCATCATCACCATCATCATCGCCACGAAAGGATCGTCGGCACCATCGCCGCAGTTACGGAAGACCATCATCATCGAGACCACAATGTTTTTTATCGCCCTCGCCATCATCCAAATCTTCATAATCTCTCGTCGTCAATCGGCAGCCTGGACGTCACCACCGCCAACAGCACCAGCACCACGGCTGCCATCAGCACCACTGTTGTTTTCCTTTCGATTGCAGGTAGCGAAAGGGCGTAGACTTGCCGGGCATCACACTCAGCACTTTCGTGTGTTAGCGATACAAGCAGAACCGGTACTGGATCCGATCTGAAGTTGTTGGCTGCACGCGCTTAGGTAGCTTTCCAAGACTTGGTGCAACCACTCCCAAACGGAAAGAGCACCCGAATGTTGACGATTTGCGAGCGGCTGACAAGCGGCAGCAGCCGCAAGTTTTTGTGATGGCCAGAAGACAGGGGCTTGTGTCGTAAGGATCTCACTAGCACGAGAATACGAGTCGCATCACAATGCCTGGATTTCTGGGTGTGAAACCAAGTTACAATCCTCGTGCGGGCCCCACTTGCAGTACCTTCCTTCCAACATTAACTGCGAGACCGGATGCCAGTCTGGACAACGACAAGCTGTACATCCAGCTGCCGTCCTTCAACCTTTCGTCGAAGAACGGGGTGCGCCCCGTGAACACCACGGGAGTCCAGAATCCGCAATGTTCCTTATCAGATTGCTGCGACCCTCCAGGTTCCAGCGCAAGGCTCCTGTAGCTCAGTTGTGAACTGAAAACCTTCCGCCGCCAGTGTCGGTTCATGTCAGTTACCGAGCGACGCTAGCTTTGTACTTGCGGCCATGCAGCATGAACGCAGACGAAATGTTGCAAGACCGTTGTAAGTGTTCGGGCCATTGGCAAAGACTGGGCACTTGTCACGAAGTCCATCTATCAGCGGTGTCCGTTTGCATTAGTGCAGCGGGGCTCCCCTTGCGACACGCTTGCAAGAACAACTCCATGCAAGCCGTCAGCCTGTGGCCGCTGCATTGTCATCAGCTTCAGTAGACATGTTCGTCTCTCGGCCGCACCTGGATTCTGCCTGGTTGCCTGTTGGCTCAGTAATGACGAGGGTTTCGTGAGTGTATATAGCCTGAGTGTAGATTTGGGAGTGTCGCGGTACTGTGAGGAGACTAGCTAGTTAGGACAGACCCACACTTCGTGTTCTCCCATCTTCAGCACAACTTCGAGAATCCATTTGATCGGGCACGATCCCACGCGATTCTGCTGCCAAGGGTGCTGTGCTTTCGGCATTGGCCCGGTGGTTCCTTCCCTCACGGAAGCAGGAGGGACGGGAAGCAGAGCAGGCAGGGCGGCGGGCGGGGGATGGGAGAAAATCTCTCAAGTCGAGCTCTACTCTACTTCTGACACAGCTCCAAGATGCTCCAAGTGCATGTCACTTGATACGCAGGAGCCTGCGACCCCTGCCGAGAGGCAACCAGCGCCGCCGTCGCAGACGCAGGTGTGCGATGTGGGCCGTTGTTGCCAGAGAATACTCTGATCTTGCACAGCACACTTCGTGCACATGTGCAGCCAAGGCTCCAAGACACAAGCTGTTACACTGTTTGCACAGGCCATCGCCTCGAGCAATGAGGTGTTGCCCACCGCCCCGGCCGTACCACGGGAAGCACAAGCAGAGGCACCCAGCTTTGTCTTTGTTCATGGCCTTTTGTGCGGAGTCGGTTCTTGAAGTTCATGCATGCATGAGATGATGCCGAGAGCTGGGCAACAACAGAATTTCTGGGCACGTGTTGAGCGACCTTCGTTGAAGAAAATCTCGAAGCCTGCCCTACTGTGCATACTGCTATGCAGATGTGCCCGTGGAAGTGCCGTCAGGACACCAAGGAGTTGTCACGGCCTTCTTCTTTGTCAGAAGCGGTCGAAGTCTCCCCAAAGGCCGGGGACAGACATCGATCTTCCGTTAGGTAGGGGTGTCTGCACCAAACCTGTCCTGCCCGACATCCATGACCATGACCGGTTTTGCGTTGAAGCGTTGCCAACAATCTGAACGACCTATTGCTAAAGTGCCGGTTGTCGCCAGCGCAAACAGTCCGCTGGCGGTTGGCTGAAAGACTCTTGTGCTGTGGAAACTCGCCGCAAGGAGCCTGCATCAGCCTCCAGTGCGCTTGCAGAAGTGGCAAACTTGCGAGGGCGGGAGGCTGGAAATGACGCTTCATTTTCTTCAGCAGCCCAATTTGTTCGTGACTGGGGTTGGCGTTCCGCTCGGTTTTCCGTCGCTGCCCTATGCTCGGGAAGTAGTACGGACACAAAGCTGTTCCAGGCGCTCTCCCCCTAATGTCCCCCCCCCCCCCAACACCCGCCCCTCGATCACTCGGTTTCCTTCGACGTCGCCCTATCTTTGAGCTGCTTCTGTTTGCGCTTCGATGGACTATTCCGGAGAGAACATGCAGTCGAAATTCTATGTCAGGCCGTCCAAACACTGGACACTTCCGACCAGCAGCCACCGACATCCGTGCTGCAGCAGCCACAGCCTTCTGATTCCCCACAGCCAGCGGCATTGCTGCAATATGGAATGCTGTTGTATTCATCAAGCGGCTCTGGCATGCTGGGACCACGGTCCCTTGAGCAACCTTTGGCGCTTCAATCTTTCCCAAGTGAAATGCCCTCTCCGAAGCCACGACCATTCCCATTGAGACAGAACTTACGGGGTTCTAGGTGACCATCCATGGTGAGAATGTGGGCGCTAGGAGCTGGGGCTGGACAGAAAGGTCGAGAAAGCAGTCAGCCGGCTTGGTTGGTGAATCCGAGTCACTAGAGAATCCCAGTCACTAGACCGTCCGCAAACGACAATGTGGAGTCTACAGCGGCCCTCTTGCGTTCGATTTAGAGGCATGCGCGGCGCCTGCCCTGCGAGCGCCGTCACCAGCAAAGCAAACCTTGCCCACAGAGGCAGCTGTCGGGTTGCAGGTCGCCTTCAAAGTTGACATGCTTGCTGCCACAGCTGTCTGGCCTGCATGCATCCTGGAAAGGAGCCGTCTCGTCTAGCTTTTCAAAGTGCAGAGCTGGCAGCATCTCTGCAAGGCAAAGAGACATTATTGGCAGAAGCGACCATTTTTTATTTGTGGGGTTTCTGCAGGCTCATGGACATGGAGTCGCACAGGAAGTCACGATGTTCTGTGTAGCCAAGGACGCTTCTTTCGAGACGAAGCTGGAAGCAGTGAAGGAGGCAGACACGTTGTGTGTACGGCTGTTGCGAGTTTTTCGGAGATGCCACTTCCGCGACGACAAACATTGAGAATACCTGCCTACCCCACGGAATCGTCTGTGCAGGCGAGGAGATCACCAGATGACGATGTGGAGGCTCAGTAGTGAGGAGAGCAATCCAGCCATGCACCCACATCTCTGCAACACCCTCGACATGGCATCGAATTCACGCCAAAAGAATTAGATCTCTTGAATCTTCAGTTCTTCTTCACAAGACATGTTCCTAATACTTGCATGGTCGTAGCTTGCAAGCCATTCGCGACAGGCAAGCAAATCTGCCACTCTGCAACGAAAGCTGGACAAAGCAAAGGAGGCACTGTTGATGCTATGAATCCTGCACTACAGACCCTAAACTATGGGAATTACGGTATGTTCCTTATTNNGGTAATGCAGGATTTATATCATGAAGCGTCGGAGGGCGGTCTGAGTCGTGTTCAAACCATCTGGCCGCATCTAGCCTATTGGTCTGGCATTTTGCCCCCTTTGGCAGTTTGTTAGCGCCTGAGTCCTTGCCTGGTACTCCGAGTTTCGAGTGGCCAAACTTAATTAAGCGATACAGAATAGTTGCCGGTGACTGTGTATGATGCGAATGGCTGTTAAGCCTGTGCTACGCTCTGAGACATATGTGTTTCAAGGAAATTGAATGAACTTGAAGGTCGTGAGTGGTTGGTTCTTTTTTGTACCCACCCCGCTGTGCGGCTTCGTCCTAGCCAGGCGGGAGGCAAAACCTAATAGCCACTGTGACATTTTGCCAAGAAGCAATTTCGCCAGCACAACTTGAAGTTGTCCTGTCGTGGGAGATTTACGAGCATGAGAAGCTCCGGTAGACATAGGTTTCAAAGCAAGGCAAAGGCCAGCAGTTCCCTGCTCCTGGCATTTACCACGGGGAGGGGGGGGGGGGG